GTGCAGGAGGCAGCCGATCAATGATTCTCTCTCATCATTGATGTTTCTATCTCTCTCTCCCTCTCTCTTCCTCTCTGAAATCAATAAAAATATATTTTAAAAAAAGAATTACTGGACCAAAAACCAAAAGAAAAATCATTGTTCACCTTTAAAGCAATCTATAGAACCAAATCTTTTTTTTAATCCTCATCCAAGGATATGTTTGTGTGCTTTTTATTTTAGAAAAGAAGAGAGGGAGAGAAACACTGATGTGAAAAACATCCATTGGTTGCCTCTCATACGCGCCCCAATTGGGGGTCAAACCTGCAACCTAGGTATATGCTCTGACGGGGAACTGAACCCACAACCTTTCAGTGTATGGGACAATACTCCAAACAACTGAGCCACACCATCCAGGGCAAAACCAACTCTTTATATTGAATACAGTAGATCCTCCTTATCAATAGTTTCACTTTTCCATAATTTTCGTTACCCATGGTCAATCGAGGTCAGAAAATATTAAATGGAAAATTCCAGAAATAAACAATTCATAAGTTTTAAATTGCATACCATTCTGAGTAGCATGATGGAATCTCACAACATCCCACTTTGTCCCACTCAGAACATGAATCATCCCTTTGTCCAGCGTATTCATGCTGTATATACAATCCACCTTTTAGACACTTAGTAGCCACCTCAGTTATCAGATCTACTGTCACAGTACCACAGTACTTATGTTCAAATAACCCTTATTTACTTAATAATAGCACCGGAGTAGTGATGCTGGCAATTCAGATATGCCAAAGAGGAGCCATAAAGTGCTTTCTTTAAGGGGGAGTGCAGGAGGCAGCCGATCAATGATTCTCTCTCCCTTTTTCTCTGAAATCAATAAAAATATATTTTTAAAAAAGAGAGATGCAATCCAGGTGTGGGACTCGTTATAAGGCAAACTATGTGGTTTCTTTTTTATTTTCATTGAATTTATTGGCGTGACATCTATAATAATAAAAGCATAATATGCTAATTAGACCGGACAGCCGAACGACCTTCCGGACGTCATTCCAGACGTCCTTCCGGACAAAGCCGCGGCAGCGGGAGCTGAAGCAGAGGTGGTTAGGGGCGATCAGGCAGGCAAGCAGAGGGGTTAAGGGAGATCAGGCAGGCAGGCAGAGTGGTTAGGGGCGATGAGGCAGGCAGGCAGAGTGGTTAGGGGCGATGAGGCAGGCAGGCAGAGTGGTTAGGGGCGATGAGGCAGGCAGGCAGAGTGGTTAGGGGCGATGAGGCAGGCAGGCAGAGTGGTTAGGGGCGATGAGGCAGGCAGGCAGAGTGAGTTAGGGGTGATGAGGCAGGCAGGCGAGTGGTTAGGGGCGATGAGGCAGACAGGTGGAGCGTTAGGAGCCAGTGGTCCTGGATTGCGAGAGGGTGCAGGCCGGGCTGAGGGGACCCCCCCTCCCCCATGCACGAATTTTGTGCACCAGGCCTCTAGTTAGTTAATAAAATCATATAGATTTCAAGTATACAATTCTATAAAATATCATCTGTATATTGTATTGCATGTTCACTACCCAAAGTCAAGCCTGCTTCCCTCACCATTTATCCCCCCTTTGCCCTCTTTTACCAGCCCCCACTCTATGTTGTTTCTTTAACAATAATTTGAAGAAAACAAGAGGAGGGAGACCTATAAAGAGTTAAGGTATATACATACACTTACATATCAACAATTGCAAGTGCAGACTTTCTTTGGATCCTAATTCAGAGAGCATGTGTGTGTGTGTGTGTGTGTGTGAAGGAAATCTGAACAGACTAGATAGTCAGGCAAAAATTCTAAATGTTTTAGGTGTTGTAATAATATTGTGGTTATTTTTTGGAAAGGCTTTACCACTTAGAGATGTATAATGAAATATTTGTGGATGAAATAAATGTCTAGAATTTGCTTCTAAATAATCCAGTAAGGAGGAAATGGGTGGGGATATAAATAAGATTGGCATGATTTTTATGTTTGAAAATTTCTAAACAAAACTATTTTAAAAGTTACAAGTAAAAAAAAAAAAAACCTAAGGAGAGGTGTCTTGGTGTCTTAGGTGACTTGGATAGTTAGTGACCGAGTCGCCCTAGACGCCAGGTCTCCAACCTCCTTGGCGTTGTTAGGGCTCTGAACCAACTTAATAAGGGGGACGACATTAACATCTGTCATGTAGCCCTGACCAGTTTGGCTCAGTGGATAGACCCTCGGCCTGCGGACTCAAGGGTCCCAGGTTCGATTCCCAAAAAACCTAAGGAGAGGTGTCTTAGGTGACTTGGACAGTTAGTGACCAAGTCACCCTAGACGCCAGGTCTCCAACCTCCTTGGCGTTGTTAGGACTCTGAACCAACTTAAGGGGGACGATATTAACATCTGTCATGTAATAGGGCATGAGGCCTCACGTTAATGCTTCTCCAACAACTCTTAAATTGATTTCAATGCTTGGTACAATTATTAAATAGCTAAAGAGAACATGCACTGAATAACCACTGAGGAGAATCATGTATTTGCTGATGGTCCTTCCAACAATACAAAACAGTTAAGTCTATTCGCTGTTTGTGGATCCGAAAACTGCATAAGGGTAACCACACAACTCAATACAAGATACTGTTAGGTAACCATTTTATTCTAGGCAGTTTGCGGCAGGATCAGCAAGGGTAGTGCAAGTTCAGGGTCAAATATTGTCTTTATTTAAAAGTCTGGCCCTGACCGGTTTGGCTCAGTGGATAGAGCGTGGGCCTGCGGACTCAAGGGTCCCAGGTTCGATTCTGGTCAAGGGCATATCCTCAGTGGGGGGTGTGCAGGAGGCAGCTGATCGATGTTTCTCTCTCATCGATGTTTCTAACTCTCTATCCCTCTCCCTTCCTCTCTGTAAAAAATCAATAAAATATATTTTTTAAAAAGTCTGTTATTTTATTCAATATCAAGTAATGGGATTTTTTGGTATTCATTTTTATTTTTTTAATGTTGCTTTAAAATATCATCTTGATTACTGAGTTTTTTGGCGTCTCCTTACATTTTGCTCCCAATGGGAGAATCTCACCCTAGTCCCGCCCCAGAGAACACAGGACTGTGAACAGCAGTTCCTGTGCCCAGTTCCGCCAGCGACCAGCGAGTACAGCCCCTTCCCGATGACCGCAAAGGCCCCTTCCAGACGCAATTAGAACTCCCGCCGTCCATTTACAGAGTTCTGCCCCCGAATTCCCGCGGCCCGGTTCGGCTCGGGCCTTCCTCTTTCCGGACGAGGCAAGAGGAAAAGCACCCACGGCAGGAAACGCGCCAAAGGGGAGGGAAGGCGGGACAGACTGAGGAGGAGCTGGGCGGCCGGCTGCGCGCGCCACGAAGACGCGGAGCAACACGGCCTACTGGACCGAGACGCGGAAACCCCGAAGTGGGGACTAGACCGCGAGACGGTGGAGCCGGGGGTGGGGGTGTTTTCCCTCCGGGACTGCGAGGCCGAGCCGCCCGGTGCACGCCGGGAATTGTAGTTCTCCCAGCCTCCGCGACCCATTCCACCGCACTCGACCGCCGCCCCCCGCCCCCCTTCAGCGCCGACCTCCGCAACCGGGAAGGAGACATTTGCATGAACTCACCTCGGAAGGGACTTCGCCCGTCATGACTTCGGCCTCTCCAGCGCTTTGCTCGGGACGAAACTGCTCCCCGGCTCCCTCAGCCGCGGCGCAGTTGCTCCCGCCGTATTCTACCCGGCAGCGACTTGGGACTTTCGCGCCTACCCGGCGTGGAGGTACCGCCCGTGATGATTTGCACCAATCCAGAGGCGGCTTTCTACTTGAGGCCACGCCCCCGTTCCGTTCTACCAATCACGAAGCTCCTTCGGCCAATCCCACAAGTGTAATGTGGGTTGGGTTGGCGGGTCGCGGCTCCTCAGGTCAAGTGAACCTGGAGGAGGCCGAAGGGGTTCTGGCTGCGGGGGTGTCGGGCCCTCTGGCCTTGCAAGATGGTACCGTTCGAGTGGTGGACTTTGACCTTTGGTCTTGCCACTGCGCGATAGTTTCCATCAAGCAGCGATTTGAGGAGTAAGTTCCTGCTCCAGGTAAGAAGTGGGGAGAAGATCTGTGGACACCAGAGGGCATCCCTAATCTGTACTGGAGTCCAGCGCCCATGAGTGTTTTCTCCAGGACCATCCTACCTGCTCCTTCTTGTATACGGCACGCATACCAGTGAACATCAAAAGAGAAAAATTCGGGGGGGCTGCTCAGATACTAAGGAATATCCTTGGGTTACCTTTATAATTCTACTTAAGATTAATTCAGGATGCAGAAAAGACCCATTCATCCCACTCCTAGGCTCTTTGGATAAGGCAGGAAAAATAAAAATAAAAAGTGTGGAATCAGACTAATCCCAGACAATTCTAACCCCTTGTTGCTGTGCTGGTTACTATCTTTTAGGCATTCTCTGTCGATCCTTATCCTGCTGCATCCAGGCGAGGCTGGCTTCGCCCCCACTGCATTCCTGAGCGCCCTGGCCCTCTGACTTCAGGTGGAGGCAAACTACTGGAAGGTACTTTACAAGATTACTGTCAGGAGGCGATCCGCGGGCACCAAAAGGAAAGTTCACAGCAGTTCCCGCTTCCACTTCACCCCCCAGGATCCTAACCACTGGTCGGTTGACCAGCTCATCCCAATTTTCCCAGGACTTTCTCGGTTTTAGCACTGAAAGACTCACCTCCCAGGAATCTCCTCCATCCCAGGCAAACCAGGATAGCTGGTCACCCTACCCACTGGCCTGCTCTTCCACGTCCCCACCGTTAGCTGAGTTCAGATAAAAGGTCTCATCTTCATTCCTTCACCTCCTCACCACTTCACCCACTTCTGCCATCCCACCCCAACAAGAGCCTATCACCCATTCTCTTCTCTCACATCTCAGGCTACCCACCTTTTCACCCACTCTGTTATTAAGTCCTACGTTGATGATTCCCACATGTACCTCTGTAGCACTCCTCCCTCATGTTTGGAGGGCTAACATTTATTGGGGAGTTGCCCTGTGACAGAAACACTTGCAAGAATTTTGCAAACATTATTTTACTTAATCTTCAGAGTAACTTTGTAAGGTAAGTAATGTTACTATCTCCATTTGAGTAGATGAGGAAACTAAACCTTTAAAATGCTAGTAACTGGTGGAGCCAGTATGCACAGCCTGTTCATTCTGACTCCAGAGTTCATACTCCTCAGAAAGACCTTGCCTGAGTGCCCTCTACATTCTCCCTCTGTCCCCTGTTTTGGTTTCCCTGGTAATACTCACGTTTACCTAAAATTTTCTATTTGTATAGTGTTGCTCCAAGAAGACAAGCACTTTGTTTCCTTTAACACCATATCCTCACTATCTAGAATAATCCTTCTCAAAGTTGAGCATGCGTCAGAATGATGTGAAGGGCTGGTAAAAACAGACTGTTTGACCCCCACTCCCAGAGTTTCTGATTCAGTATGTCTCATGTGGGGCCTAAGAATTTGCATTTCTAACAAGTTGTCAGGTGATGCTAATGCGGCTGATATGAAGACCATACTTTGAGAACCACACTTTAGAACAGCGGTTCTCAACCTGTGGGTCGCGACCCCTTTGGGGGTCGAACGACCCTTTCACAGGGGTCGCCTAAGACCATCGGGAAACACATATATAATTACATATTGTTTTTGTGAGTAATCACTATGCTTTAATTATGTTCAATTTGTAACAATGAAAATACATCCTGCATATCAGATATTTACATTACGATTCATAACAGTAGCAAAATTACAGTTATGAAGTAGCAACAAAAATAACTTTATGGTTGGGTGTCACCACAACATGAGGAACTGTATTAAAGGGCCGCGGCATTAGGAAGGTTGAGAACCACTGGGCTAGGGCATGGTTCTTTTTATTTAAGTAATTTTTTTTTTGTTAGTCCTCACCCGAGGACATTTTTTTGCTGTTTTTAATCCTCACTGGAGGATACTTTCCCCATGAAATTCGTGCAAGAGTAGGTCTTCACAGCCGTAGCCTCGATCCCTCGAAGCCGCAGGTGGCTGCCTGGATCCCTCCCTCACAGGCGTGGTGGCTGCAGCCCCGGCTTCATCCGGAATGAAGTCCGGAAGGACATCTGGTCTAATTAGCATATTATGCTTTTATTATTATAGATTGAACCCCCTCTGGAAGTGAATATATGAAATAATACTACTGATATTAGCATTTTTCAGAATGAATTAGCATTTTTCTCTCTTTATAGAGCACCTCTTCAGTCACCAAAGAAGCTAAGAAAAAGAGCTCTGATTTGGACAATGGGTGAAAGGGATGAGCTAGGAAGGGAAACCTTTTATTCTATATATTAACTTGTGTCAAACTAAAGGGAGCCTGTATTTGGAATGAGCAGTCTGTATTCTCAATTTTGGTGAATGGCACCATAACCCATCACTCACCAATTCAGAAACCTGAAAGTCATCTTGACTCCTCTCTATGTCTTGGCTCTCAAGGTTAATCATCCAAAAAGCTCTGCTTATGAAGTTGATAGATGGCAACAAGGGAAAGATCTCAATGTTCACTCTGCAGGGATAAGTCTGAACTTGTCCCACAAATGACTTTGTGACCTTGGGGAAGACATTTAGTTTCTCAGAACCTTGTTTTATCCATTTGAAATTAGAAAACTTAGGATTTGAGATCATGATTTTCAAATGGGTTTAATTGTTCGTAGAATACCTAGAAGTAAGGTCCTCTGTAGGAAATGCTTCATAGTACTGACACATTTAATCTGGTCAAATAAGTCAGGAAACATTTTCACTAGTAGGATCTATTAGTATATCATCGAAAATTAATATACAAAATCAATTCTGAAATTATCCTATAGAATAAAATGCTAATATGCAAATTGTCCCCACTGGTGGGAGTTGAACCGACTGGGTGTTATACGTGCACTGACCACCAGGGGGCGGCATGAAACATGGCAGGTGCCTGTGATGTGGCGTGTGCAGCAGTGGAGGCGCTGCTGGCCCCGATGGGCCCCAATGAGAATGGGACCTCGGCGGGATAGTGGAGCAGGTGAGCAGGTGGCGTCAGGCCAAGGCGGGTGTGAGCTGGGGCCCCGATTGCCCCGCCAGTCGCCCCACAGATCAGCCCTGATTCCTGGCTCATGGTAGGAAAGTCAATCCATACTTGTTGAACTAATTAATTCAGTCACTTGCCAACTGTTATATTATTACTAGTGGCCCGATGCATGAAATTCGTGCAAGAGTAGGTCTTCACAGCCGTAGCCTCGATCCCTCGAAGCCGCAGGTGGCTGCCTGGATCCCTCCCTCACAGGCGTGGTGGCTGCAGCCCCGGCTTCATCCGGAATGAAGTCCGGAAGGACATCTGGTCTAATTAGCATATTATGCTTTTATTATTATAGATTGAACCCCCTCTGGAAGTGAATATATGAAATAATACTACTGATATTAGCATTTTTCAGAATGAATTAGCATTTTTCTCTCTTTATAGAGCACCTCTTCAGTCACCAAAGAAGCTAAGAAAAAGAGCTCTGATTTGGACAATGGGTGAAAGGGATGAGCTAGGAAGGGAAACCTTTTATTCTATATATTAACTTGTGTCAAACTAAAGGGAGCCTGTATTTGGAATGAGCAGTCTGTATTCTCAATTTTGGTGAATGGCACCATAACCCATCACTCACCAATTCAGAAACCTGAAAGTCATCTTGACTCCTCTCTATGTCTTGGCTCTCAAGGTTAATTATCCAAAAAGCTCTGCTTATGAAGTTGATAGATGGCAACAAGGGAAAGATCTCAATGTTCACTCTGCAGGGATAAGTCTGAACTTGTCCCACAAATGACTTTGTGACCTTGGGGAAGACATTTAGTTTCTCAGAACCTTGTTTTATCCATTTGAAATTAGAAAACTTAGGATTTGAGATCATGATTTTCAAATGGGTTTAATTGTTCGTAGAATACCTAGAAGTAAGGTCCTCTGTAGGAAATGCTTCATAGTACTGACACATTTAATCTGGTCAAATAAGTCAGGAAACATTTTCACTAGTAGGATCTATTAGTATATCATCGAAAATTAATATACAAAATCAATTCTGAAATTATCCTATAGAATAAAATGCTAATATGCAAATTGTCCCCACTGGTGGGAGTTGAACCGACTGGGTGTTATACGTGCACTGACCACCAGGGGGCGGCATGAAACATGGCAGGTGCCTGTGATGTGGCGTGTGCAGCAGTGGAGGCGCTGCTGGCCCCGATGGGCCCCAATGAGAATGGGACCTCGGCGGGATAGTGGAGCAGGTGAGCAGGTGGTGTCAGGCCAAGGTGGGTGTGAGCTGGGGCCCCGATTGCCCCGCCAGTCGCCCCACAGATCAGCCCTGATTGCTGGCCAGGCCTAGGGACCCTACCTGTGCAAGAATTTCGTGCACCAGGCCTCTAGTATGTCTATGGAATAATAAGCCATGTAATTTAACATACTCAGCCCATTCTAAATTTATATTTGCTTGCTGGAAGGCAAACAAAAGCAGATTCCAAAGGTTTGTGAAAGTTTGAAGGGAAAAAACATTGATTAAATCATATCTTGTGAAAGGTTGAAGGGAAAACATTAATTAAATCATATCTTTTAGTTGATTTTTTCTGAAAAAAGAGAACAGCTTATGGAGAACAGCTACCATATTAAAGTTTTAGTACTAGCATTCGTCTGGAGTAAGGTGTGAGAACCACTTGCTTTTCTAAAGTCCTATGCCAGTAGGACTTCAAAAGTCTAGTTTTTAGACTCCTTCTTCATTTTTAGATAAGCACTGCCACCTCGTGGCAGGATTTTGTCATGTCAGTTCACCTATCCTAATACCTTTTTTTTAATTTAAAAGGTATTCAAAGAGTTGTTTAAACTTTCCTTTGGTGCAGCGAAATAATCGCATCTCTCAGAATCTGCTTTTAAAAATTTGTACCGTAATCCCATACAATTATGAAGCTTATTTTGGAGAGTGTGCTGCTTGAAGGTCAGGACTGTTTTTCTTGCTTAATGTAGTACCCACTGACCTTTAAAAATGACACAGGACCTGACACATAGTGGGTGTTTAATGGATAATTGTGGAATAAATTATTAAAATACCATGGCCTGAAAAACAAAACCAAGCAACACCGGGGCCTTTTGCCAAGGCATGACAGCACGCACACACACACACACACACACACACACCATCAGCTTCTTGTATAACTTTTGGCAACCTAAAGTACCTATAAAATATTCATCCACTCATTCAACATTCAACAAACCTTAAGCACCCATTTTAAGCCTACGCTAGACACGGAAAATATAAAGATAAATAAAATACAGTCTCATTCTCAGACAGGTTTCCATTGCTGGCTGGAGACAGGCAA